ATAGGTTTTGAGATCAAGGAGTATACCTCTCACCTCATTTTCATTTTTCAGAAGAGCTTTGAATTCTCTTCCCTTTCCAAATAAACTTTTTTTCAGTTGCCTCATAGTAGTTTCTCATAGTAGTGTTTTGTAGTTTTCCTATAAAGGTTTTTTTGTGTCTCTAGGTAGGTTTATTCCCAACTGTTTCATCTTGTGATTGACTATTGTTAATCTTACTGCTTTCTTAGTTTCTTTTTCCATGCTTTTTGTTGTTGTTGTTGCTGTAGTGAAGTCCCACAGATTTTTCTTATCTTGCCATTCTACTAAACAGGTCTGCTATGTCTAACAGGACTGGGGTTTTGGGGTTTTTGTTTGTTTGGGTTTTATCTTTGGATTTTCTGTATATACCATGAAACCATCTGCACACAGCAACAGTTTTATGCCCTTTTTGCCAATTTGGCCATCTCTTCTTTTTTTTAACTTACTGCCCTACCATGTTATTTCCAACACAGTATTGAATAGGAGTGGTGATAGTGGGCAACTTTGCTTGATCCATGTTTGTCAGAAAGGAATTTAGTCTTTCTCCATCAAGACTGATTTTGGCCCTTGGTTTTGTGTACATACTTTTCACTGTGTCATGAAAATTCCCTTCTATTCCTATTAAGTATTTTAATCGTGAAGGATTGTTGGCTTTTTTTAAAAAGGTCTTTTCTACATCAATTCATAGGGCCCTGTGGTTCTTGTTCTTCAATTAATTAATGTGAAAAATTGTTAACTTTTTAATATTTTAAACCATCTGTGCATTATCTGTTATGAATCGCACTTGGTCATGAATTATTTTACACACACACACACACACACAATTTTTGGATTCTCTTGGTCAGGATAAGAATTTTTGCATTTATGTTCATGAGAGATATTGGCCTATAGCCTGGTTTTGGTGTTGAGGTAATGTTTATTTCATAGAATGACTGTGGGAGTGTTCCTTCTTTTTATATTTTTTAAAATCATTTAAGTAGAATTGGTGATAATTCATCTTTTAATGTTTGGTAGGATTCTCCTGTGATGCTCTCTGGGTTCAAGTGTCTTACTTTCTTACTTTTGTCTGTGTCATTTTTGGTAGGATGTGAGTTTATAGAAATTTGATCATTTTCTTTAGGTTTTCAAATTTATTGGAGTATAGCCTTCTATAATATTGTTACTATTGTTTTTATGTCAGCTTGTTTTGTTTTGATCTTGCCTTTCATTTATTTGAATTATTTTTTTTTCTAACTTTACCAGTGGTCTATTTTTATTGACCCTTTCTTTTGTTGATGGTTTCAGTTATTTTTCTCTCCTGTTGATTTCAGCCCTTGTCCTTTATTCTAGAGAAAATGGATTAGCTTGTTGTAATTTTTCTACTTGCTGGAGGTGTAGCTTATTTTGCACCTTCCTTTTTTTTTATTTTTTCATTTATATACCTATTACTGTGAATTACCACCTGAGGACTGCTGTAGCTGTTTAAATTAACTTTTTATTCTCTAGTCTAGTAGTGCACAAGCAGAGTGTTACTTACCTTCCATGTGGGTAGGGTATTTATCATTCATCCTCTTGTTACTCACTTTAGGTCTATGGTCTTTGAAGATACTTTGTATTTATTTAAATGTTTGTTGTATTTTGTTTTGAGGTTTTTGTTTTAGTTGTTGGTTTGGTTTTTTTGGGTGGGTGGGTTTTTTTGTTTTTTTTTTGTTTTTTTTTTAATTTTGAGGCTTTCTTTGTGTCCTAATACATGATCATTTCTGGAGAATGTACCATGTGTACTTGAGAAGAAAGTAAATTGAGTTTCAGCTAGGTGAAGTACCCTGAAAATTAGGTCTAGCTGAATAGTTCTTCAGCATCTTTTTCTGTTTCTTTTGAGATGACCTGTCCTTCGTTGAGAGTGGTGTGTCAGAGGCACCTATTACTGTTGTGGTACTAGTTCTTTCTTCAAATCTGTTAATCATAACTTTAGGTATTCTATACAAAGTTCTGTCTTCTTGATCTTTTGTGCCTTTACTCATTTTCATTGTGAAGTCTATTTTATCACTCCTGCTTTTATAGATCCATTTGTTGTTGTTGTTATGTGCTATCAAGTCGTTTGCAACTCATAGCGACCCTATGTACAACAGCCCTAAACCCTGCTCTATCCTGTGCCAACCTCATTGCCTCTGACACTCCCATCCCGATTACCCCAGTCACTGAATCAATCCATCTCATAGAGGGTTTTCCCCTTCTGCGCTGTCCCTCTACTCTACCCACCATGATGTCCCTTTCTAAAGACCTGTCTCTCCTTACAACATGTCCAAAGTATGTCAGATGAAGCCCAAGAATCCTTGCCTCCAAGGAGCAGCCTGGTTTAACCCTCTCTATGATGAATCTGTTTGTTTTCTTGGCAGTCTATGGTACATTCAATACTCTTCTCAAAGGCGCCAGTTCTCCTTCTATCCTCTCTAGTCATTGTCCAACTCTCTGATGCATAACAAGTGATTGCAAAAACCATGGCCTGTATCAGGCGCACCTTAGTCTCCAGAGAGACACTGCTGCTCTTGAGTACTTTAGAGAGGTCCCTAACCACAGACTTTCCAATCACAATACGTTTTTTGATTTCCTGGCTACTGGTGCCAAGAGTGTTGACCGTGGAGCCGAGCAAACTGAAGCTGTGAACAATCTCAATCTCTTCGCCATCCATATTGAAGTCCATATTGAAGGCTGCAGTCCTTGACCCTCTGCAGTAAGTGCATGAGGTCCTCCTCAGTTTCAGCGAGCAGGGTTGTGTCGTCTGCATAATGCAGATTGTTGATAGATCGTCCAACAATCCTAATGCCACGCTTCTCCTCATAGAGCTCAGCCTCTCGGATAATCTGCTCTGCATGCAAATTGAAAAGGTATGGAGATAGGACACATCTCTGGCGTACACCCTTCCCAATTTTGAACCATGCAGTGTTGCCCTGCTCTGTTCTGACTACTGCCTCTTGGTCCAAGTATAGGTTTTGCATTAGCACGATTAAATGTTCTGGGATTCCCATTCTTCTCAGAGTCAGCCACAGTTTGTTATGATCCACACAGTCAATCAATGAAACACAGATAGTCATTCCTCCGGTATTCTCTGCTTTCAGCTAAGATCCATCAAACATCAGCTACAATATCCCTAGTACCACGACCCCTTCTAAACCCAGCCTGGACTTCTGGCAGTTCTCTGCTGATATACTGTTCCAGTCGTTTTTGGATAATTTTCAGTAGAATCTTGCTTGCATGTAAAATCAATGATATTGTTCTGTAGTTTCCACACTCAGTTGGGTCATCCTTCTTTGGGATGGGAACAAATATAGACCTCTTCCAATCAGTTGGCCAAGTGGTTGATCTCCAGATTTCTTGGCACAACTTGGTGAGCACATAGATCCATTTACTTGGTGTGTTTTATTTCCCCACCCTTTGATTTTTTTTCTTTCTTCTTGTTTCTTATATGTATTTTATAGGCAACATATTGATGGGCTTGGGTTTTTTAATTCACTGCTACTTCTCTTAACTGGGACACAGAAGCCATTCACATTAAGTATGATTAATGACAGGCCATTTTATCCACTTTGCTGCCTCTGTGTTAAGGACTCCCCTTAGTATTTCTCATAGAGTTGGTCCTGTTTTCACAGATTCTCTTAAGTTCCTACTTTTTGCAAATGACCTAATTTCTCCTTCATATTTGATGAACAGCTATGCTAGGTACAAGATGATTGGCTAGCATTTTAGCCTCTGTAAATGCCATCCTATGTGTGAGGCAGTTCTGGCCTAGTAGCAAGAAGCTGTGCTGCAATCCCAAAGGCACATGGTTCAAGGCTACCAGCTGCTCTGCAGGAGAATGGGCAATCTCCCCAATTACCCTACTAGAAGGTCAGCTAAGGGTCAGTTCCAACTCTATGGTACACAACAACATATGCCACCCCATTGTCTTCTTGCTCACAGTTTCTACTGAGAAATCAGAACTTAATCTAATTGTTACTGTGACTAATTGTAGGTGACTATTTTTCTCACACTGCCTTTAGGGTTTTTTTTTTCCTTAACTTTGGGGATTTTTTTGTAATTTTTATTTTAATAAATTTAATGAACATTTACAGAGATTTTGGATTTCCATTCATTCATTGCTGCACTTCTCTCCCCCCCCAGTTAACTTTGATTGTGGACAATTTGACTGTGATAAATCTGAGGTCTAATCTGTTTGTAGTTCACTGAGTATTTCACATGTGGATTTCCTTTCACGATACCTGAGTTTTTTCAATTTTCTCAGTATTTCCCTCACCTCCTGTTCTGGAATTCCAATGCATGTATTTTCTATTTGATGTTATTCCTCATGGCTCTAATGTTTTCTTCATTTTCCTTCTGTCTTCTCCCTGTTTTTTGATTCAGGTAAGTTTCCATTAATGTTTTCTTCAGTGAAATGTCTTCTAGTTCACAGATTTTTATGCCCCTCCCCGCACATGTTTAAAAGTTCTGCATTTTGGTCCTGATAGTCTGGATTGCAATTTTCATGCATTTATCTTGTTTCTTCTAGTACTATGTTGATTACAACCTGTCTTGTGATGACTTCATAATTCTTATATCTTATGGTTTCAACTCTTTTTCCTGTCATTTGTGACTTCTTCCTGAGCCTTTCATGTAACTCCATGTTGATATATTTCTTCTGCCTCCCTGTTTACGGGATATTTATTGGGTAGGTGGTCTGGTCTGCTTCTTTAGGCCACTTGTTTGGGGTTTTTTTGAATCTGCCTGCTGCTTCCCTTGACATTATATCAAGTTCTTTTTCGTATGTGTGAGACAGTTCTGTAAGTTGTTATCAGGGTTATGTTTATGATACTAGTGATAGAGATGGCAGATTTTAAGTGTTGCCCTCAACTCCTCTGTGGGCCATTCTGCTTCCTGTTGCAAGATTCTTATCTGGTTATTCTTGGAGGGGCAGGGAGCTGGAGTCTCCCTTTGACTGGCTTTGGTGGGCTCTCTGCTCTTTTCTGTAGTTTAATGGGCAGGAGTGATATTCCCAGATGTAGACAAAGTCCCAGGAATTCTGCCTGGGATATTTTGCTCAGTGAAAAGGCCCAGGGAAGTGGCAAGGTCCCAGCAGTACAGCTCGCAAGTGTGGATGCCAGCAGCCAACCCATGTACCTGTCTCCCGTGACTGGCTGTCGTTGGTGCGGTCAAGTATGACTCATAGCAACCTTGCATAGCCAACCTGAACCTGAACCTATCCTGTGTCATCTTCATCTCTGAAGCCCATTGCTGAAGTCACCGTATGTCAGGTCCGTCTATCTCGTGGAGGTCTTTGTCTCCGTCTCTCCGACACCCCAGTCTCTCCAAGCATGATGTTTTTCCAGTGAATAGCTTGTGCTCAGACATGTTTTCAGAAATATGACCCCATGATTTTAATCTCCCATGTTGAAGACACTATGTCTTCTGGTCAAGTATAAGACATTATGTTAGTATACCTGGAAAAAGCTTTTCAGTTCATCTTTGTCTTCATTCACACTAAAGTTAAATTTAAAGTATGGATAAATAAGCCCAAACCATGGGCCAAAGTATAGACCTTGCTAATTTAGTGAACTCCACTTCATTTAAGCTAAACTGTTGATGTCTTTAAAAGGAAAACAAATAACGCCACTAATGAAAAACCTCAACTCAAAAAAAGGCCACTGCTATGGACTTCATTCTGACCAAAATCACATGTTTTTCTAAAGTGGGTGCAGCAGCAGCACCACAAAATAGTCCTAAAACTGAGCTTTTGTTAAAAGCTTCATTAGGACTCTGTCATGATCTACCACGATTCTTGGATGTCTCTTGGATCAGTCTGTGGATTCCATACCATGATATCCGCCTCTTATAAATTCATGTGTTTATCTTTCAGGTTCAGTATTTCTTCAAGATCTTGGATAATTAGCACTAAGGAAAACAAAGTGATGGATTGGGACTTTCAGACACGAGACAGCCACGCACATGAGGAATGTGTTCATTCTTTTATTGTCCATTGTTTTAACCTGACTGAATACAAGATCAACAAGAGCACTGTACTCCTGGCAATTATTACATATGTTAGAACATGGATTTTGCACTTTTAACAACATTTAACACCAGTCTATGGGGTACTGCATTGCTTTTTATAAAGTTCAAAATAAAGATTTATTTTCAAACAAGTGACTTTGGTTTAGTTCATACATTATACTTTTTCTTGCAGAAAAAAATAAAATTGTACAACTGCATAAATATAAAATTCTTCCACTATGAAAATGGTTAAAACATTCATGAAGACACAGCACCAGCATGTGATGCCTCCAGAGAAAACAGGAAAGTAAAAAGAAAATGTACAAAGCAAACTAATTAGCCTGACCACTAGCCAAAGTGTCAGGCTGATCCAGGTTTTACACACGGCTTCAGAGCACACTGGAGGACAAAGAAAAGATGGCAAGACAGCACTCGGTACAAAGCACAACACAACCCATCAGCTTTGTGTGTTCTTCTGTAGTGTCACTTAAAATGTAAAGGGCAGTTCCCCATGACAACCCACCCACCCCAGCCCCAGGAGAGAAAGGAAAGACATACCTAACGCCACAGGAAAAAGACTATGGAGTGTGTTAAAAATGCTCATTGATGGGCCATTATCGTTGAGAGAGCCAAACCCCCCCCCAAAAAAAGGAAATATGTTACCATGCCAGTTTTATTCCCATTGAATATTTACACCTTGGACAGCAAACCTTGCTCACATAAAGTAGAAAACAGATACAATAAAACATGGCTTGAAAAATGACCAGAGTATGCACCTATAGTACTGTACACTAAATAAAATACACAAGGTAGCAATACTTAGGGGCCAGAAACACTGCTTACTACAAGTCAGTTATGGAATCATAATTTACAGTAAAAATGGGCACGCCCAA